CGCTCAAGTCGATCGGCATCAAGGGAGCGGCTCAGCGTGGTCTCCTGTCCACCCTTGCCGGTCTGCTGAAGCTTGGTAATGCCACTGGCTTTTTGGTTGATCAGGAAGATCTTGAGGAAGCATGTGACGAAGTGGGTGGTCTGCTCGGGTTGGATCCGGAAGTTCTGCTGCACAGTTGCTCCACTGATGATCGCGAGGTGCTGATCTCGGGGATTTACGAGGCACTGGTCGACTGGGTGATCGAAAAGGCCAACGAGGCCATTTCCAGCGAGCTTCAAGCGATTCTCGACAACGACCCCAGTACCAGTGGTGGCTCTGGTCCTGGCGGCCAGTGGACTGATGATGACACGGTCAGCATTTCTGTGGTGGATATTCCCAGACCTGCTCTAGGAAAAGCTGTGGCAGTTCGCAACGTGTTCGATGACAATACTGGTATCAACGCGGAAATGAAGGAGGATGGCGTCACTGTTCCCCCTGTAGGACATGCTATTGCAAACGATGTTTCCTCCGCGGTAGCCCAGGTTGAGGCGGACCTCGGAATCACCACGGGCTCTGCTTGGCACGAACGCGAGTATGAACTCGGCAAGCGACAAGAAGTGCTGGAGAAGGTTGGGCTGGAAGTCGACATGGACTCGTTCCTCCGAAAACTTTTGCTCCCTGTTGAATCCGAAGGTATCACGGTTGGGAAGCGGGGCCGGTTTGATCTTCCCACCACGCTGGGAAGTAGCAGAGTCTGGCACCATATCTCCGTCCACCCGACTGATGATCTGCCCGAGAAACTCAACACCTTCTCGCCGACGGCCGCCTGGTCAGCCGGAGTCGTGTCCCGGCAATTGCGGGAATGGAGACTTGCTGAATGGGCCAACCGACGCCTCAGGCAGATTGACTTTACGGCCGACTTCGACATGGATGAGTTCGTTGGCCGTTATTGCCGTCTCGGATGCGCTGAGGGTCGGGATGGTGTTGAGAGCTGGTTGATGGAGAGAGGCTGGACCAACGGAGATGCCTTCGTGGGTCACCAGCGAATCTGGATGAGAGAAAGTGCATGGTGGGAAGGTGAAACAATGCTTGACATGAAACCAGACGAGCCCGCGACGGCCAACCCTTTCCTGTACGGGAACACCATGCTCGATGCCGGGTTGCCCCATTATGCGGGAACTCCTATGGCAGAATCCACCAGCCTTCTGGGCAGTCGAGATGACCTTCTCAACCACCGCCAGAGCACGTTGGCGCCCAGCTTCCATGGAGGCGCCAAATCAATCGCTCCAAGTGTCCCCCAGACTCTAAACATGGGTGGCGATTATGGTCTCGGCTCGAAGGGTGATACTAGGAAGTGGGACAATCCGTATTCTGACGAATACGCCCATTATAACAACGGCGAGCTCGACCCTGAAGTTGGCGACCCCAAACACATTGAAAAGAAGCCCATTACTCAGGGCCGACGCATCTGGGTCGGATTTGTCTGGGCGTTGACTTTCTGGATTCCATCATTCGCTCTGCGCTGGATTGGCCGGATGAAGCGTCCCGATGTCCGGATGGCCTGGCGCGAGAAGCTCGTTCTGATGCTTATCATTTTGCTGTTCAACGGTGTGGTTTGCTTTTACATCATTGCCTTTGGTGATCTGCTCTGCCCGAACAAGGACAAAGCTTGGAATGAGAAGCAACTAAGTTGGCATGCTCTCGACAACGATTTCTATGTCAGTATTCATGGAAACGTCTACGACATTACCAAGTTCTGGAGACTTCAGCACAGTGATTCTTCGATTGAAACGACAACGAGCAATATGAAGCCATTCGCGGGTGAGATTCTGGATCAGTATTTCACCCCTCCGTTGACGCGCTTCTGCTCGCCATACGTGACGGAGCAGTCAGTCACTCTGCAGTTTAACAACACCAATGCCCTCGAGTATCCCAACGCAGAGCACTACTGTGGATCTTATCACACCCCCAGTACCACCACCAAGCTGCATAACATTACTTGGTATGAGGACATCTTTTTGCCCAAGATCAAGACCTATTACAAGGGTCCCCTTGTTTGGTCGAAGAGCACCATACAAAAACAAGCAACGGATAGTTCACGGTATTGGGTCATCGTTCACGATAAAATCTATGACCTTACGGACTACTTCTATACCGCCGAATTGTTCGATAATGACGACACTTACGCCTTCCTACCGTCGAGCGTAACCGACTTGTTCAAGAATTATGCGGGTGAGGATGTTACCGACAAATGGCAGAACACAACAGACTTCCAGCAGTCACAGACGTGTCTTGACTATGTCTTCTATAAAGGCAAAGTGGATTTCCGTGACAGCCCCCGCTGTACGGTTAACAACTGGATTCTTCTCTCGTTCACGGTTCTCATCTGCGCTGTTATCCTCGTTAAGTTTGTTAGTGCCCTTCAACTTGGCTCCAAGCGTCGTCCTGCACCACAGGATAAGTTCGTTATCTGCCATGTGCCGGCGTACACAGAAGGTGAGGATGCGCTGCGTAAAGGTCTCGACTCCCTCACGGCTCTTCAGTACGACAACAAGAGGAAGCTCATCTTCGTCATTTGCGACGGTATGATTGTTGGTGGCGGAAATGATCGTCCTACGCCTAAGATTGTTCTCGATATTCTGGGGGTCGACCCGAAGGTTGATCCCCCGGCGTTGCCGTGCAAGGCCATTGGCCAGGGTAGCGAGCAGCTGAACTACGGCAAAGTGTATTCTGGTCTTTACGAGTATGAGGGTAACGTGGTCCCGTATATTGTCGTTGTCAAGGTCGGCAAGGAGTCGGAGCAGAGTCGGCCCAAACCTGGAAACAGGGGTAAGCGTGACTCGCAGATCATGATGATGCAGTTCCTCAATCGGGTACACCATCGTTCACCTATGTCGCCGCTGGAGCTGGAGATTTTCCACCAAATCAACAATGTCATCGGTGTCGACCCTGAGCTCTACGAATACTGTCTGATGGTGGACGCCGATACCAGTGTCCGAGAAGATTCACTCAACCGTCTGGTTGCCGCTTGTGCCAACGATGCACGCATTGCTGGTATTTGTGGTGAGACCAGTCTGCAGAATGAAGAGCGAAGTTGGTGGACGATGATTCAGGTGTATGAGTACTATATTTCACATCACCTGGCCAAGGCGTTCGAGTCGCTTTTCGGTAGTGTCACATGTCTACCCGGATGGTAAGTTGATTCAATCCTTCGACAAGTTCATTGACTAACAGGAACAGTTTCTGCATGTACCGTCTGCGGACCGCCGACAAGGGCAAGCCTCTGATCATCTCTGACAAGGTTATTGAGGAGTATGCAGACAATGATGTTGATACCCTTCATAAGAAGAACCTCCTGTCGCTTGGTGAGGATCGTTTCCTGACTACGCTTATGACGAAGCACTTCCCCGAGATGTCCTACAAGTTCATTCCGGATGCATACGCCAGTACGGCCGCGCCAGAGACCTGGTCGGTCTTGCTGTCGCAGCGTCGGCGTTGGATCAACTCAACCGTGCACAACCTGGTGGAAGTGGCCATGCTGAAAGATATGTGCGGATTCTGCTTGTTCAGTATGCGATTCGTCGTGTTGGTTGATCTTCTCGGAACGGTCATCCTGCCTGCGACTTGTGTCTACCTGGGCTACCTGATCTATCGCGTTGCCAGTCATACCGGTCCCTTCCCTATGATTTCGATTGTCATCCTGGCAGGTGTGTATGGTCTCCAGGCGATCATCTTCCTTCTGAAACGGCAGTGGCAGCACATTGGCTGGATGATCATCTACATTTTAGCCTATCCTATCTACAACTTCATTCTCCCGCTCTATTCGTTCTGGAAGCAAGACGACTTCAGTTGGGGTAGCACGCGTATTGTCATTGGAGAACAGGGCAACAAGCGCGTGGTGGCAGTGGACGACGAGGGCTTCGACCCGCGCAGTGTGCCGCTACAGCGCTGGGATGACTACGCGCTGGCCAACAACCTGCCGGGACGGCGCGGTGACTTTGGTATGAGCCAGGAGAAGATGTACAGTGGCCGTTATGATGACATGGCGCTGGAGATGGATGACATGCACTCGAACTATTCCTCGGTGAAGCCGGCGTCGACGATCCTGACTGGGTTCCCGCATCACCAGGGCCGCCACGGCAGCCCGTACATGCCCCCGCAATCTCCAGCACCGTTTGCCAACACCCCGGGTAACCGCAACTCGCACATGTCGAGTCTTACGCGATACACGGATCAGCCGTTTGCCAGTGGACATATGGCGTCACGGTCGGTGGGCAATCTCAGTGTGCCGGATGGATTGACGAACCGCCACAGCGTGGGTCTGATGCAAAGCACGGAGAACCTGCTCGGGCGGCCCAACTCGCGCAGTCCCGTAGGTGGGATATCGCGACCTGTGAGTGCGTTTGACTTCCGGGGAAGTGGCGGGCCCGACGAGGGTTCGATCACCGAGGCGATCCGCGCCTGTTTGGCGGAGGTAGACCTGGACACGGTGACGAAGAAGCAGGGTGAGTTATCTTCCACTGAGGTGATAGGAAAAAAATGCTAAGAAACCGTAACAGTGCGCGCATTAGTCGAGCAGCGACTACAAACGACATTGATAGGCGACAAGCGGGCGTTCCTCGACCGACAAATTGACCACGAGCTGGCCAATATGTAAAAAGTCGACGTGAGGAAGAGACGGGATGTAATGGATGTAATTGATTTTGTTCTCCAGTGTATACGCGAGCATACATAGCTATCATTTGGCAGTATATGAATTTCGGGCGGGCGTTAGCGTGGGAACATTCATTGATGTAAAAATTGAACATGCATTATCAGCGTTATGTATACAATGTTGACTTGGTTGCATTTGTTGAATGACAGATAGACAGACAGACATGAAATAGATGCATAAGCGCCGCACATGTTGCATGGAACAATTCCAAAGTGCCCAGGGACACCGGAGCTAATCCTCTTCCGCACAAAGAACCATTCATAAGTAACCTTCCCCCTTCCTTAACCCATGGGACCCCACAAACCCACCCACCCCTCATCCATTCATCCATTCAACCCCCCTCTTATCTACTATCTATCTATCAGATAACCATAACCATAACCACACCATCTCCACATCAACAACCACCACCTATACTATTCTATACCTTCCCCCCTCCTCAACCACAATCCCCTCCCCGAAATCTTAAGAAGAAGACATGCCCCCCACTCCCGAGAAAAGCAAAGAAACCCTAGAAGCCAAATCGGCCTTCAGCGCGACGCTCCTCAACATCGGCAGCACACATGCCAGCCCGCTCGTGGAGCGCGCACACACCATCACAGAAAATGCGGCAGCGCTGGACAAGCAGCAAGCAGAGCTGGAAGCACATACGGCTGCGCTGGCGAAGCAGAATGAGAGCTGGGATAAGTTGGCGGGGGAGGCGCGGGACGGGTTGAAGGAGATCGGGGACGTGCAGAATTGGGCGGAGGTGGTGGAGAGGGAGTTGTTGGTGTTGGAGGAGATGATGGGGTATGTGGAGAGTAAGGGAGATCATGATGGTGGTCATGGTGGGGAGGGGGAGGGGGAGGGGGATGGGTATGGGATGAATGGGGGGATTACTGATGATAGAAATGGGGTTGGAAAGGGGAAGGGGAATGCTAATACTAGTACTGTTGATGGTGGTGGTGGTGGTGATGCTGATGATAATGGAGGTATTACTAGTGGTAGTAGTGGAAGTGGGAGTAAGACAGGATCATCATCGTGGTTTAAGTGGTGGTAAAGACTATTTACTACTAGATAGTGGCAGGAGGAACTCTTCAATGTGGATACGACAGATGTTTACTTGGCTATTACTACTATTTGGAACGAGGGAAATCTTCTATTGCCCACAGATTACTTTATACAGCCTTCATGTTCTTCAAGAAAAGAAGAGTATACTGCCAATGAAATGGACATCCAAAGAGGATCCTTTATCAGCAGCACTAACTATTTTAAAAGCTATCACTATAGAATGTTGCGCTAGAACCGAAGGATCGAAGAAATAGTAGATACACACATCTCTACCATTAACGTCCATACCTATCAGAAAACGAAGAGATTTACATCTATTCATCCAGAGCTCCAATAAAGCACCCCCAATGACCCAAACCTCTATCCCCATGATCAACTCGATTGAACGAGGTATACTTCTCCATTCCCTCCAAAGCGGTCAAAAAACGTCCAGATTGCTGACTCAGTTTTTCGGGACTGTGTAAATCTATATCCGCTTAAATCCGTCTATATCCGCAACTTTTCTCTCGAGGTTCGCTAGGTTGAGAGGCGGGAGGATTCAGCAGTAAGGTAAGTACTACGTGTGTTCAGTGCTGGTTATTGATTGCCTCGATGCTTTGGGTTCTGGTGTACCGGGGTTATTAAGGCAGACTATCTGTCGATGAAAGTTTTCATATCATGGTGTTTTAAAATGGCGTTTTAAATATTGGAAGACATTTGGAGTTATATTTGCTTCTCAATATGGCGGTAAATGTACAAAACAAAATCTTCAGTTTCGACTAAGAAAGGGAACTCAATCCTTGTATCATTATACTATATTCTTGTCTACTTACTTCATGAACTAGGTCTAATAACACTCTACCTGACATTCTCATCGATTTACCTCAGCATAAAATGGAAAAAAAACTGATCAAAGAGGAATCACTCCACGGTCCAGATCCGCTATAGCCGAGCAGTATCGACCCAACAGAACCCACGGCGCCAACTGGGGCAAGAAGGTCTGGATTACTAGGGTCGATGATCCACATGCGACAACCAAACGGTCGTCCCAGGCTGCGTGGCTCGGAACCCGGGTGCAGTGTGTTCACTGTGCCGGAACACCACACAGCACATTCCGTAGGGCCGTATGCAATATGCAAGAATCAGATTCAACACGGGAGACCATACCTGCACCTCCTTGCTGTCCCCCTACAAGTAGGGTGCGCAACGTCGGGAAGTCGGCCGGCCGCAAAGCACGCGCCACTGACGGAGTCAGGGAGGCCCAATTTGCCCGCAAGCCGTATGTGGCTCGGGACAATGTCTGTTGACGCTGTTCTTCCGAGGGAATGCATATGCACCCACCCTGGACCAAAGTTGTGAGCATTTCACCAATCGAATCATCGAAGGCGAATGACGCAAATTGCAACACGCGGGACTGGGGGCCGATCTGCAACGTTCCAGCCTGACTGACGGCAGAGGTAGCAAAGGCACGATGATGGATGATCACTCCTTTTGGCTGCCCCGTTGATCCGGAGGTGAAAATGCCGTATAGTGCATTGTCTGGGGTCAACTCCAAGTCCATCTCTGTCCCCCCATATACATCGCCCCTACTGCCTTCCACTCCCCCAAGTTCTTCACCGAAGGTTACCACCCGGCTTACCAACTGGGCTGCTATTTCCTGACCTTGAGGAGGTGCTAATATCACAGTGACCCGAGCCTTTATACAGATGGCACGTAGCCGAGCCAGTGGGTGGCTTGGGTCTAAGACAATGAAGGCGCCGCCGGCTCGAATCACAGCTGTGATTGCCACGGTGACCCAGTGGGACTTGATGGCGTAGATTGGAACGGAGACCTCAGGGCCAACACAGTAACAGTCATGAAGTTGACGGCTTAACCAGGCTGATTGAGCCTCTAGTTCTGCGTAGGTGAAACTGCCATCCCATGCGCAGACGGCTGGAGAGTCGGGCCGTGCGCGGCAGTTGTCGAGGATCATGTCGCCGACGCATCGCTCTACAGCCTGCGGGACCTGCTCGTTCCATCTTCGTATAGCCTGAAGAGAGCTTCCGCCTAGCAGAGGAACTGACCGAACTGGTTGGTCGCTGAAATACACGATACCCTGCACCGCTTGCTCAAAAGCATCGAGGACAAATGTGGCCTGTTCATGGGTGAGCAGTTCACGCCTATAGTTCATAATTACCCCGACTTCCTCTTGGGCAATATTGATACGGACCATTAAATCGTACTATATGAGAACCATGTTTCCTTCAGCCTGCCTGTGTTCTATACAAGAATGAATAAGGAATAAGGAATGAACACATACCTCTGTAGAATCTTCTCCATTTTATTCATTAAATATTAATAAAAAATGTGGAAGTGCAAGTCATGACTTAACTTTTTAGACAGATATAATAGAACTAAAAAAAGAGCCCTGATAATAACACATGACTTCAGTTAATAACTAACATTAAAAACCTGGGGATTAAGCAAAGTCACTTTGGATTCTATACAACATTTCAACTATACTGATATCATCTCTACTAAAGTCCATCCACTAATGAATATATTAATACACGGCTTTACTATATTCTCAATAATATTGATAGGCATGTCACAACCGGCCGTCATATAACTATAGTATACATTATCAGTCCCCATATATGCACAGAAACCCAGCCCCCAGGCCACTTCAAAAACTGAAGCTAATATAAATTTATTAATTCGGCAGAACTTATAAACAGATGGAATTTTAAGCAATGGACAGTCAACTCAATATATTCTTACAGTCAACATATCTTTACTTTTATAATCTACTAGTGTAGGGAAAAGGTATACTCCAAAATTCTTTACATACTTCTCCCAGTAGCTGCGGACGGGGTCTGATGGCTGTTTCTATATATCTATAAAATAAAATATTTGTATACATGGCCCGATTCTTGAGGTAGTATATTGTTGTATGCTAGCAGGAGATGTCAGTAAAATATTTAGCACAGAATTCCATCCAGCAGGGCATGCTCGATCTCAAAAGCGCAACTTACCGAGCCTGTGGAAGCCCGACAGACCGTTAACCGATGCGCTGGATGCAACGCCGGCAAGGACGAACGCTCCCAAGGGCTTGATCCTTTTGCAGAGCTCTCTGTCTGTGTAGCATCAAAGCTGACCATAGTCGGTTGCACATCATCTAGGGCAACCTGGTCAATGCTGCCGTCCCCTCGCGGACTGTCCACATATATGGTACGAAGTGGTGGGTGTCTTTCCACAACCCGCTCCCACGCCCGCATGAGTCGGCCAGTGTCGACTGGACACTCATCTCGGGCCTTCACAGTCCATGCCAGCCGGGCTGTATAGACTTTTTAATTTTTCGCTTGGCTTATCAGCAGTTTTAGTTGGATGGGCGCACAGGGAAACGCATCCGCCACGGTCTTTCCGGCGAGACGGAGTCTGTCAGTCAGGGTCTTGAATTCGAAGAATTGCTCATCAGTCAATCACAGTAGAGGCACATCGGATCGGGTCAGAGGAGGAGGAATGGTGGGAAATCGCTGGGCCAGAGTTGACAGGGCCTCTCGGGACCTTTCCGCCCATCCGAGAATTTTCTCTGCGTGCTTGATATGCCGATTGTACAGAAAGTCAATCGACAATCTTCCTTCGGCCACATTGGCAAGGATATCAATCAGGGCAAAGCGACCCACATGCGATCCCTGATTGACAAGAGTCGAAACCGATAAGGGTACCCGCTTGAAAAGCGAGTTAGCTGATTCAGCTGCCTCTGAAGTGCCGGCGTAATTGAAAGTTATTTCCATCGTCGTCATCTGATCCTGGCGTGCTGCCAAGTAGAATCGCCCAACGTCTTGGACTTCGCGTCGCCCATCTTTAGTTCGACGTACCGCCTCCACCAGATCACAGTCGGGGCCCAGAGGCACATGAGAGGGCCAGATATTTGTAAACCATCCGACGGTTCCGATCACGTCAATATCGTCCGCCCATGGATCGCGCCCATGACCTTCGTTGAAGATGGCCGGAGTCGGTCTATCGGGGAATGTCTTCGTGAACGCATGCATCAGCGCCGCCTGCAGCAGCTCGACTGGCCTGGTGTTAAACGCTTTGTTGGCAGGCCCCAGAATCTGACTAGTCTGTTGACGATTGAGTGTTACTTGGTACTGATCTACGTCGGCATAATTATTGCTCGTTTCAGACAGTCCCCAGTAATCCATCATAACCGCCGGGACAGCCTGGTCTCTTATCTCTGGGGTAGAGACAATGTGCTCCTCCTGGAGACGAGCCCATGTGATATAGGACATGGCGTTTTGTGAGCTCACAGGCTTCGATTCCAAAAGCCGCTCTAGTTGATCCAGGATAATCTGCCACGATACAATATCGACAACGAGGTGGTGGACTAAGAGGGACAGGCATTGTTTGCCGCCGTGGATACGCATCAGATCCACAGCAATTAAAGGCCCATATTCAATGTTCAAGTCTTGTTGCCGATCCGTATAAAGTGTTTCTGCGTCCCTCTGTGACATGTTTTCATGCTGTTCGTATCGGTAAGAATTGACTATATCCTTGCTGATCGTCTGATACCATGTCCCCTCCGCATTACGAGAGAACCGTGCCCGCAGCATAGAATGAGTACGCACAATCCATTGTACTGCCTGCTCTACCTTGTCAGCTTGGACAGGCCGCCGAAGCTCGAAGAAGAAGCTCTGATTGAAATGGTTGTAGTGCACCGGAACTCGGTCCAGGAAAAGCTGTTGAATCGCCGATAGGCGGAACGGTGTATTGTGGGCTCCATCTTGCAAGGAACCTGACGAAGTAGAAATCCTACTTGTGACTGTTGTAGCCAACTTGGCAATTGTGCTCTGTTGCAAAATGTGGTTGACTGTGGTGCGGATCCCGATACCTTTTAATTGAGAGACAATTTGCATAGCACTGATCGAATCGCCGCCCAGATGAAAAAAGCTGTCATCAACACCCACCATGTCGGGAGCTTTGTTCAAAACCTGAATCCAGATAGCATGGATCGCCTTCTCATTTTCTGTCGATGGCTGTCGGTGGCTGCGTCGTGTAGCGGTCATATACCGCTGAATTTCCGAGGGCAGAAGAGCTTCGACAGACATGCGAAGAGCTCTGCGGTCCACCTTCCCTCCAGCTGTCTGAGGAACCTTGGCAATAGGAAGGAATATAGAGGGGACCATATATCTGGGAATAGCGTCGCGAAGAGAAAGCTCGGCGACCTGCATGGACTTTTGGAATGTGCTTGTGGGGGGAAGAAAGGGTGCGCCTTCGGCCTTACTACCAGCCATGTCCCGAAGAATAATACAGGCGAATAAGGTCGGTGAGCTGTCTATCGTTGCAATATCGACAATTGAATCTAAACCTCCAGTGCAGCTTCGTACTTGATACTCGACCTCGGCTAACTCTATACGCTGTCCGCGCAGCTTCACCTGTGTGTCTTTGCGGCCGACAAACCGAATTTTCCCTTCGGTAGTAAGCTCGACAAGGTCGCCCGAGCGATAGAGGCGGCCAGGGCGGCCATTTCGCCAATTGGTGAGCCATTCTGGAGGGTCAATATATCCTGCTTGCGTGAGCTCTGGGCTGTTTAAGTATCCTCTTGTGACGATTGGCCCTTCGATGATGAGCTCGCCTACTGCACCAAGGGGAACCAATCGTGTGGGATCAGAGGGAGCAGTCACCCATGCTGCTCCGCCTAGAACAGGGCCAACGGTGCCTGGTGTCCAGGACCCCTCGACTACTGACCCTGCTGCGCAAATTATGGTCTCAGCCGGTCCATAAGCATTAATAAGTGTTACATGGGATGCCCACCGACTGGCAACGTGCCGTGTCAGCGCTTCGCCTCCTGATATAACAGTTTTCAGACTGGGCACCCGATCAGGATCCAGTATGGCAAGCATCGATGGGGTCAGGAGGGCGGCGTTGACTTGCTTGTCTGCAATGAATTGTTCGATTGCGTTCATCCGCTCAGACTCAGACGGTATACAGACACATCCTCCGGTGATGAGGGTCGTGAATATCTCATAGATGCTAGCATCGAAGGCATATGACGCAAAGTGAAGCATCCTACTACTCTTGGTTATGTTCAGCGCATCACTGTGATATCGAATGCTCGTCGACAGGTTCCGATGCTCCATCACTATGCCCTTGGGTCGCCCGGTGGAGCCGGAGGTAAAGACAATAAAGGCCGGGGAGTCAGGGCTCACCGAGGGCTGCTCGACAGAAGCCGAGCCGAGCCCATGCACTTGCACTTGCATCTGGAAGGGTACAGTCAGTATTGTGGCCGCAGAATGTCCTTCAAATTGACCCTTCGTCTCTTTCGAGCAAATGACTATTCTAGGCTGGGTCTGATCAAGTATACTCTGCAGTCGCTCAGTTGGAAGCTTAGGATCAATGCAAACAGCGGTTGCTCCAGCACGCAAAACGGCTATGATGCTGATGACCGACCACTTTGATCTATTTAGACTGATAGGCACAACTGATCCCGCCTGAAGACCGCTGTTCCCAATTACTTGAGCCAGCATAAGGGAGGAGGAGGCTAGCTCTTCGAAAGTCAAGTCCCCATCCCAGGCACACACCGCTAAGGCAGACGGACGCGACATTACATGGTCCAGAACGGAGTCATGCAAGCAGCGCTCTAATGGCGATGGTAGTGTAGCATTCCAGCAGGCCAATTTTTCCCAATCATGATCGCTAACTGCCGAGAGACTCCGTAGAGACAGGTCCGGGTGAAAGAGGACTTGGTCAAGAATGTGCTCAAATTGAATGACCATCCTCTGGGCCTGGTGCACATCCAACATGCTCGGGTCATACTGGGCCACGATATCCAGATAGCCATCCACCTCCGCAACATTATTACAAGCAAGAACAAAACCGTAGCTTGCAAAATCCCCTAAGTCCAGATGCTCGCTCTGAACTTGGGCTATCAGAGCGCCGTGGCTAGACTCTGGAAGAGAATTAATTCCCAAATGACTCTGGAACTTGCATGCCCTGGCTGCTTCACTGCTAAACGACCCAATCTTTCGCAATCCAGTCTGCTGATAGGCCGTCATGGCTGCTAGTTGCTGTTGGATCTGGCGCGCCCCATACTGTACAGATTTATCTAACTCTAATCTGACGCGAAAAGGGACGGTTGTGACAGTCGGCCCCGTGAACTGGTCGATGCCAGCCACGGCTGCGGTGCGCCCATTGAGGGTTAGTCCAAACACGACATCGACTGAGTCCGAATAATAGGACATAACGATTGCCCATGCCAATTGGATGGCCGTGGGAATAGTGAAATCCAGCTGATCATCGGCTCTCATGGAATATCGCCGATGAATGGCTTGATTCGGTATCGGTTCGTAAGTTGGATGTGGGAGAGCTGGGAATACAGCTGCTTTGAGGTCTTCGAATTGGAAGCGCCAAAAGGAAGCCGAAGCGGAGTCGTCCTGTTGTTGGTGGAGGTAGCGAATGAAAGGTGAGAATGGCCTGGGCTGAAGACTTTGTCCGCGGTAGGCAGCCTCGACCTGGTCCCAAATGAGAGACAGGGACCAGCCGTCGTAGAGGGCATGGTGGATAGTCATGACAAGTCGAGGAGGACTAGCTATCAATGAAAGACGAAGCAAGCGTACGTTGAGACCCATTACTGCAGGCACAGATCGGCTTTGGTAATCCTGCTGTGTGCTATATTTCTCCCAGTACGGCGCCTCTCGCATAACGACCTGGAAGCTTCCTCCCGGGCCCTGTGTCAGTCGTGTACGGAGAATAGGGTTTGCCAAACAAGTTGCATTCCACGCCGCTTGGAAACGATCCAAATCGACATTTTCTACAAGGTCATAGACGAATGTTGCAACATGTTTTCCGGGCGTCTTCAGAGTCAACGCCATAAGGCCTTCTTGCAACGGGGTGCATGGGTACAGGTCCTCAATCTGAACTCTGGCTGCTCCAGCCTGGGTCTGCAGCGTTGCTATAATCTGGTCTTGTACCCGCAAATCTGAGATGAGACTGAGTGGTGGCACTATATCGTCGCTGTGCGTGACATTGGCCATGCTTTTCGTCGCTGCAAGGTCGATTATACGCGGTGTGGTGAAGATGTCTCCTGCGGTCAAAGAGTACCCCGACTTTCGTGCGAGCGTGGCCAATTTCATGGCCGACAAGGAATCACCACCCCTTCGGAAGAAGTCGTCCTCAATTCCGATCCGGTCCTCAGGAATCGAAAGAACGACCCCATAAAGTTGCCGCAGTACCGCCTGGGTGTGAGTCTCTGGCCCTCGAACCGGAGCTTTCTCTGCCATTCTGAACTCATCAAGCTGTTCGGAAGACAATAGCGCTGCATGTGCTTGCAGGACGCGCCGATCCAGTTTTCCCGTTGCAGAAACAGGCAGACGGCTGAGGGGGATCAAAACCGCCGGGACCATGTATGATGGAAGGTACTGTTTCATTCCAGAAAGGGCAATAGCTGCTGCTTTGGAGAAGCTCGCGTCACTCTCCACAATCAAACTGGAGTTGGATCCGATTGAGGGCGTGCGCACAACGAACCCGGCCAGAAGATCAGGTCGCCCGTCTTGTGAAGGAAGGATGTCAGCAACTACTCCCTGGGCTCCAGGAAAGCAGCGGTGTAGGTGATATTCCACCTCTCCCATCTCCATTCGCTGTCCTCGCAGCTTGACCTGCGTGTCTTTGCGGCCGATGAATATGAATTCCCCTTCATCGTTATAATGCACGAGATCTCCGGTTCTATACAATCTGCACGGACTAGCCCGGAATGTGCGCAGCCAGGGGACGCTATCTGGAAATGCCTCAGCCGTCTTTTCCGGTTGGTTTAGATACTCCCGTGCAATAGTTGGGCCTTCAACTATTAGCTCTCCAACGGCACCGATAGGGCATAGCTGATTGACATTCGAGGGCTTGACAACCCATCCTACCGCCCCAGCAGCAAGGCCAATATTCGTTGACCGCTTCGGGTCTACCGCCCGTTGCACGGTCATCAGTATTGCACATTCAGCCGGACCATAACAATTCATAAGGTGCAAGTATGGAGACCACTGCTCAGCATCAGCTGGGGTCATGGGCTCTCCACCCAGTAAAAGGTGTTTCAACGTGGGGGATGTCTGAGCGTCTAAGGTACGTGCGACAGTAGGCGTGATCAAAGCCCAATTAGCCTTAAAGTCTGCAATAGCACCCGTAAGATTTGACAGACAGTCTTGTTGAGACGGAGCACATATACAGCCACCAGCTACTAGTGTCACGAGGTTTTCAAATATACTTGCATCAAACGCATAGGTCGAAAACTGCAGCACTCGGGACTCTGGGCTGAGACAAGACTTGGAGCATACTGCCTGCGCCATTGTGCACCAGCCACCATGCGTAATCACAGCCCCTTTTGGCTTGCCTGTTGACCCTGAGGTAAATACCAGATACATGGCATTACTTGGAGTGGCCGGACTAGTGTTCAGGGGACTTTCGGCGGTCACCAGCTCGTTATAATGGGACCCGAGGATGACAGTTTGTATTGGTCCCAATTGACCAGCAGAAGGAGCATTGGCTTCCGAGCAGAGCAGGATAGAAGCGCGCATCTCGTGACATAATTTTTGCAATCGATCCATGGGATTCGAGGGGTCAAGCAAGGCGAAAGCACCGCCGGCTTTCAAAACGGCCAGTATGGCGACAGTCGTCCACCGCGACTTCTCGAAATACAGGGGAACGAAGGTCTCAGGACCAACACCCATGGATACTAAGCGTCTTGCCAGATTTGCTGCATGTGTTTCGAGTTCCTGGTATGAGAACTCGCCATCCCACGCGCAGACGGCGGGCGCTTTAGGCTGAGCCAGCGTACGTTGATAGATCAGCTCGTGCGCACACTGTTCGACCAGTGCTGGGGCTTGGCCATTCCACTTCCGCAACTCGGCCATGTCGCATGTGCTGATGCTTTCGATATCTTCTAGCCGAGCGTTAGGTGTCTGCTGAATTTGCTGGTAGATATGCTCCAATTGATGAACTAGTCGCTTCATATGCACATCAGTGACCATCAGCGGGTCGTAGGCGATCTCAAGCGCCACAGAGGTTGAGGATGGCTTAGCGACTATGGTAATACCAAAAGAAGTGGTTTCGGTTAACTCAGTGAGATCATGAAGTTTGGAAAACATAGGCGGGTGTCGGTGCTCGCCTTCATCGGCTTGGATGACTAGGTGGCTCTGAAACTGCGTGGCAGCGGCGGACTCGGCGCCCAGAAGCCTGATGCGCTGGAGCCCGACCTGCTCTACAGACATGGTCCGGCGTGAGTGCATCTGTACATTCTTCAAGTTTTCGATCACAGTCGCTTGGGGATCGAGAAGCAGTCGCATGGGAATGATGGCGAAGGTGGGTCCGATCATGGACTCAATGCCCTCAACCGGCGCACCACGGCCGGCAACTGTTAGCCCAAAAACTACATCCCAACTCTCTGTGTGGTGAGATACTAGGAGGCCCCACGCAAGTAAGAGCTTAGTCGGCAGAGTTATTTGTCGTTCGGTATGCCAGGCCGCTGCAAGGGGAATAACATATGCAATCGTTTTTGTAGGCTTCGCAACATAATCCGGGGACGGTAATTTGGGGAAAGGGACCGCGTTCAGGCCCGATAGGGACTCGGTCCAATAACGGTCTATTTCGCTCTGGCTTTGGGATTTCAAGTATCGGATAAAGGGGCTGAAGGGCCTCGAGGACAATCTCTCCCCTCTGTAGGCCGCTTCCACTTGTTGCAGCAATAAGGGAATCCCCCAGGCATCAAACAGTGCATGGTGCATGAGCAGTGTGAAATGGCGAGGCGTGTTTGGGGTTGTCGGATCACTCAACGCCAATCTAATTAACCGCTGTCCTGTCTTCCAGTCCTTCCACATTTTGGGGACATTCTCGCTCGGATTCCTCATGTCCCATGGAATTACATCCCGGATGACGGCCTGCCAAAGTTCTGCTTCTTTCCCCGGCACGATGCGCGTTCGCAGGATTGGGTTGGCTTCAACTGTTGCTTCCCAAGCGCGGCGGAATTTGTTGATATCGATGTTGATGGGCAGCTCGAATTCCATACACATGGTGTACGCGCCAGGGTGTTTCAGGGCTACCGCGAATAGGCCCTCCTGTAGCGGAGTACAAGGGTAGATGTCCTCAATTTCGTCCTGCTTTATCTGAAACTTGCCCAGGGTGTGCGCCACCTCCATTTTCTCACTCTCACTTTTACAAAGCGAAAAGGCTGGTACATCTGCCGACGGGAGATGATCCATGCTGGCACTTGATGCCATTTCCTCTAGCGTACCATCATCCCAAGCATCCTCGTCTTCCAGGATCATTCCGCACTTGCGCGCTAACCCTGCTAGCTTCATAAACTGTATGGAATCTCCACCTAGGCTCCAGAAGTTATCTTCAATGCCAATACGCTCGGTAGGCATTTGTAGTACCTCTCCCCACAGTCGCTGCATCAATGTTTCCTTAGGGTTTCGCGGCGGTGTCTTCGCTGTTGTCTCCAGACCTAGCTTGAGCAAGTCGCGTTGAGTTTTGTAATTTCCAAGCTGACGTAGACTTCGGCGATCCAGTTGGCCATTGATACTCAATGGCATGGAAGATATCGTCAGAAAAACCGTGGGAACCATGTAGTCGGGGAGAACATGTCGCATCTTGAATTTTACTTGCTGAACTAGTGTCTGAAAATCCCCATCTGGGACCACCAGCTCACTTTCGGAAGTGGTCGCTTGAGAAGCCCCGGTAGCCCTGGTCTGAAGTACCACGAATGCGACCAAAAGGGGCGATTCGAGCGCATCCCTTGGTTGTATCACTTCCACTGCGGCATCCATGACCGAAGGATGTGAGCGCGCATGGTATTCAATCTCGGCCGCTTCCATTTGGTGTCCAGCGATTTTTAGCTGGCTATCCCTGCAACCAAGACGCTCGATCGAGCCATCAGAATGGCAGCGCGCAAGCTCACCAGTCCTATAAACTTTACCCTGCGCACTTGGCCATAGCTTTCGCAGCCAGTCCGGGCGGTCGATGAAGCCGCCAGCTGTGTTGGCTCCGCTCCCTATGTATCCTCGCCCAACAATCGGACCTTCGATCAGAAGCTCACCTACTTTGCCTACCGCACAAAGCCGCTGAACGTCCCTCTCATCCACAATCCAGCAGCTTCCACCAACCGGAAACCCGACTCTCATGGGAAAATCCGCTGCCTCGAGAACGGGATTGACGCAGGCAAAGATGCTGCACTCAGTGGGTCCATAAGCGTTGAGTAAGTTCAAATGAGGAGCCCAATGATCTCTATCTTGTGCAGTCAGGGCTTCTCCGGCACATACTAAAGTCTCGAGCGTCGGCAGGGTCTTGGGATCCAACGAGCGAGCCATGGAGGGCATGAGTAAAGCCCAATTGACTCGTAGACGTCGTATCACAGTGGCAAGGTCACCTCGTCGTTCCACTTCAGATGGAATACATACACACCCTCCGTGAACTAGCACGGCGAGGGTTTCAGTGAGGCAGACATCAAAAACGTAAGAAGCAAAGTGCAGTACTCGCGATGTCCGGGTGAGGTTCAATCGGTTACCGTGAGCAACGATCGAAGATGAGATAGATCGATGTTCGATCACAGCGCCTGTAGGGGCACCTGTACTCCCGGAGGTAAACATGGCATAGGCGGCATTGCTTGGCTTAGAACGACTAGCTGCCCCTGGAGCCATACCCTGCTTTCCCTGCCCTGTTTCTTTGTGCGCGACCACCACACCGGGCGCAAGCTGGCCAGCTTGGGACGCATTCTGGGATGAGGCTATCACCAACGGCGCCTTCAATGTTTGGCAAATTTCCTTGAGCCGCTGTAATGGTTGCGATGGATCGAGTAGTACAAAGGCGCCTCCGGCATACAAGACACCCAGGATCGCAATGATCGCCCACCGGGACTTCTCGAAATAAATAGGCACAAAGTCTTCTGGGCCGACACCCCGAGCCGACAGCGACGCGCCGAGTGAACGAGCTAAGTTGCTGAGTTGCCGATAGGTGAACTCGCCATCCCATGCACACACTGCAGGTGCTTCTGGCTGTTCATGACAGCGCTGTTCGATTAATTCGTGTATGCAGGACTCAATGGCCACGGGTGGTTCTGCGAATAGTTGCTTAAATTGTGAATCGTAAGCAGGCACTAGGCCTCCGTTCTGTGTAAGACGAGGTTTGTTGGACAGAAAAGACATTATGACTTGTTTCAATTGAGAGTGTTCCTCTCCCAGGTCGTTTCCCGAATGTTATCGTTGTCGGTCAGGTCTTCATATGTCTCCTGTGTCCGAAGGAAGAAGAAGAAGGGACAAAGGAAGAGGAGGAAGGAGACAGGGGTGAATCTAGTGAGAGACTTTGAGTACCTAATAATATCTGAGAATGTCTTAATGTTCATTATACTTAATTTCATCATGGAATGACACCCAATACTGGAATTGATCTTGCCACTTCGGGGCTGTCCTGTAAGAGCTGTGGTCGAGGAAAATATGCGGGAATAGGGTTGACTTGCAACTGGCCGAATTCACCAAAACTGTAGACAGTCTGGTTTCGTCGGTACCAGTCAATCTTGGTGATACAATAGTAGGATCTAGGAGGCACGGCATGTTTGTGTGACCTTTCTAAACTCTTGGGGCGTTATTGTGTTGAACCGGAATCCTCCTACAGTCTAGATCCCAGCTCACATGTTGATGATGGAGGCGTTGGCGGTCTCATCATCATTCTTGCGTCGGATATAACGAAAGGCTATACAGTTAAAAGATAATAAGATGGAGGCTATCTGGCAACGACGGAAGTACTTTGTAGATATGGAGAACCGAATACTTCGGCTTGTCGAGATGGTACATGCATTCCGTCGGCGAATTCCCCTTTGCCTGCAGGAATGTATCAATTGAGCCAAGCTCGATCATCTTCTGCAGAACCGTTAATTGTCCGGCTGCAGGAATGTGAGCCATATACGTAGTAATCAGGTTTTACTGAAGTATGCTTACTTATACAACTACATTCATTACGATGATGCCAGTGGAAGTAAAAACGCTAGGGCTAACGGGCTTCTCTTCATAGGTGGAGTAATTCCAGATAGTAGAAGACTGCATAAGTTGTTTAGAACAGGCCTATGTCTGTTAAAAGTAGTATGTTGACAGCTACACAGCATAAAGTTATATCTAAAACACAATGTCATTCTGAGGAACAGTTGGAAGGCTAAATTTATACGGAAATATATATCTACATATCCAGCCCATCATCAACACAAAGCACTGGAAAATTCTTAAATCATGCAATGCTACTACTACTGACACTTACTAAAGCTCATTAAGATCATATAGTAGATCAAGTTTACCTTAATACACTATCAACACGCTGCAGCATCACACAACATTGGATGGATACTCCACCTCCTCCAAGCTCCCAAACTCCTCCTTAATCGTCCTCACACTCACAAACCGCTGCAAATGCGCCATCGTGCCCGTCTTATCATTCGTTCCGGAGTCCCGACTACCCCCAAACGGCTGCTGCGCGACCGTCGACCCCGTACACTTCGTATTCAGGTACAACATGCCCGCCGCATGGCGCAGCGCCGTCTGCGCCTGTCGCGACGCATACGGGTCCTTCGCATAAATACTCCCCGTCAAGGCATAGCGCGATGTCCCGTCCACCAGTTTCAGCGTCTCTTCCCACTCGTTGTCCGGGTACACGTATACGCCTAGAATCGGACCAAACAGCTCCCGGGACATGATCTCATGCTTCGGGTTCGTGGTGCGATAGACAGTTGGGTGTACGTAGTATCCCTGACTCTTATCGGCGATACCGCCGGCAATGAGTTCGAGTTCGGGATCGTTGCGCGCGGAGTGAATGACCTCCGCGAGACGGTCGAAGGCGCGTTCGTGAATGACGGGGTTGATGAAGTGGGCATATTCATCGACGGGGCCGACAGACAGGCGGGAGAGGTGGTCCTTCAATGTTTGCTGGAAAGCAGGCCAGACGGATTCGGCAACGTACACGCGGGAGTTAGCGGAGCATTTCTGGCCCTGGTATTCGAACGCCCCGCGGATGGTGTTTAGAGCTGCGTTGGTGATGTCCGCTGAGGGGTGCACGAGGCCCCAGTTCTTGCCGCCAGTTTCGCCGATCACGCGAGGGTAGGAGTTGTAGATTCCCTCGCCGATGGCATTGCCGATTTTCTTCTGCAGGCCTTTGAAGACTTGCGTGGATCCGATGAAGGTGAGGGCGCCGAATTCGGGACGATGGAGGATCGTGTTGGTTACTTGTTCGGCGTCGCCGGGGAGAAATTGGATTACGTCTTTGGGGAGACCAGCTTCAAGGAGAATTTGGTGCAGGAGCCAGCTGGCGTGGAGGGCAGAGTCGGATGGCTTCCAGATTACGACGTTGCCTAGGAGGGCAGCTGGGCCGATGAGGGTTGCGCCTAGTGCGGTGAAGTTGAATGGGGCAATAGCGTAGACGAAGCCTTCCAGAGGCCGGTATTCAAGCTTGTTCCAGGTGCCGGGGAGGTGAACTTTGGGCTGCTGGGCGAAGAGTGACCAGCACTCTTGGATGTAGTGGCGGAAGAAGTCGACTGTTTCTGCGGCGGCGTCAATCTCGGCTTGCCAGATGTTCTTGCCTTGGCCTAGCATGGTGGCAGCAACAATTTCAGAGCGGTATTTGCCTGCGATGAGCTCGGAGGCGCGTAGGAAGATGGCAGCGCGGTCTTCGAAGGGCATGGCCTCCCAGGCTGGTTTAGCTTTGAGGGCTGCATCCACGGCGGTGTTAACCTGCTCGGGCGTAGCGGATGCATATTCGGCAACTACCTCGTTGTGGCGTGAGGGGTTCTTTTGAATTTGGGATTTGATAGTTTGTATCTGGTTTGTTAGCTGCGTGAGTTCGGTCACAGGAGAGGTGACTTACTGTGGAGCCATTGATGGTGAGTGGGATGTTAAAGGGCATCTCACTCTTCAGCTTCTGTAGGGCTTGCGTCAACTCAGCCCTCTCAGGTGAGCCTTTTGCGTAGTCGAGCTGGTGTTGTTAGTGAGTGTCATGGTATCGAAGGGAACACTTACTGGCTTCTCATTCTCGAACTTGGGAGGATGCCATAGACTGAGGGCTCGTAGTGGCTGACCTGCCCTCCGGCTGGTGTGAAGAATACTTGCGCGCACGCGAGGTGAGAAGTAAAGTGTCCGCATGATGGTCTATTAATCCTGTATATACTGAGTGTAAAGTTGAGACCTTCTGGGCGAGGAAGGGTATTTGTAGAGCAGCTGTCGGGAGGAGTCCCGAGCGGGGAGTGTGGCATCCCCGCAATCCCAATTGCAACTGCAAGGAGACCTGCAGCTGCATCCAATCGTGACGTGTCGTACTACTTGATAAGTGGCCAAGAGATGGCCATGCTGCGCCAGCCATTGAGATAGCTTCGGTGTATGGACCGACTGTTATCGTGCGTTTATCCTTTCGGATGCCGATCCCGAGGGTCCCTCATTCATGCATCCACGGCTCGCGTAGTAAATACATCGCACTGAAGTATGATGTGATCATAGCTTATCATTCAGTCATAATTTGTTCTCATTGACCGAACTCAAGTTGGAAAACTGAACGGTGACGCATTATCCAAAGGGTGATAAACGCAATCGTAAATGAGATAGAATATCGGTTAATCCTGAAAATATATATATATATATCTAATGACTCCGCTGGTCTATAATGTTATTCAAAAGTAAACGGTAAACCCGAGCATTCAAGCTTAGATCTACTCTGCTTCTTCAGCTTCCCCCTCACTCTGTGCAGCCATTTCCTGGCAGAACCCTCGCCATATATCCAATGAATCTACCGGTTGGTCTTCCTCATCGGCCAACTCATCCCATTCATTCCATTGCCCCAGGCTCATCAGATGCCTCATAGTCGGCCGGCCATGGGGACAATTCCACGGCTTATCAATGGTGCCCATATTATGCACCACTTTCTGCATCTGCTTGACCGTCAAGGTCTTGCCAATCATGATGCTCGACCGACATGCCCGCATGGCGAACATCTTCCGCACTTTGCTCGGACGGGGTATATACATTCCTGACGCTGACCGCGCGGCGTTAGTAGGCGTCTCCGACAATAGAACAATGAGCTCTTCCAAATCCCGAACCCCAAAGACCACTTCTTTGCTCAAAGGCAGCGAGACCAACTTGCAGCGGCGCCCGATAGGCTCGTCTCCGCTCTCGTCCACTTCTACAATGAAGCCGTTCTTTTCCAGCGCGGCTTGGTTCTCAATGACAATTTCCTCCTCCACTGCAGTGAGATCTAGACGCTTCGGTTGGACGAGGCGCTGGTTCTGCACTACGGTTTCTGCCTGCAGTCGTTCGAAGTTGAACTTTTCATCAGAGGCATGCTGGTCTATGATGAAGAGTTCGTCTTTCGCCGATGATCCAGCACCTGTGTCATCGGCGGATGAGCGCGTAGCTAGGATGAACCCGAGATTGAACTGTCCGACTATCCGCATGTTGGCAAAATCGTCTTTGCTGACCGTTAAAGATAGTCTTTCCTCAGCTGTTTCTTGTCGCGCTTCCGTCTCATCTTCGCCCTGGGAAGGGCCGTGGTGCTCTTCCCAACGGCGGAGGCTTTCCTGTAGTTGCCTAAGCTGTGACTGTATCTTGGAAAGAGAACCATCGATGGTGCTCATCAGCTGCACGGTAGAGTCACGGTGAGCAGCCCCCTTATTCATCTTGTTGGCACGATGAATGTTGTTGCCCTGTGGCAATGCTGCTTTGTCCTCTGCTTCTTGGATGAGTCGTTGGACTTCTGCTTCTTCATGGCGCTTTTTCTCTTCCTCGCTTATGTTCTCCCTCGAGGAGCTAATCTGTTGTGGGTTTTGAGGATCATTGCCATTGTTGGCTTTATGCTGATGGTGGTCACTGCTAACATGTTCGGGAAGATGATCCTCTTCATTGTCTGATGGAGCATAAGATTGAGAGCCATCATCTTCTTCTTCATCCTCGATCTCCTCACCTTCCTCCACAGGCTCCTCATCTTCTTCGCTCTCCTCATTAGCTTCTTCGGCCTCTTCATCCAGGATTTCTTCGTCTTCGCTTTCCGGCTCCATTTGCGATCCTGGAGCAGCAAAATCTCTCATGTGCTTGCCAAATATGCTAGGGCGCGAAGGCGTGTGTATCCGTCTTTTACGGGTAGTAGGGCCAGCGGCATCACCAGCACCTACGGACCGCTTTCT